CAGAACTAATTTCACTCACTTGTGGGCCAGCCCCTCATGTGGTTGACTTGCCAGGTACTCAATCAGCACCTGCACACACACGCCAGGCAGCCCCTTGTTCAGGGTGACATCAGTCTTGACTTCATACAGGCCAATGATTGAGCCCAGCATGGACTGCAACGCATGGGTCATCATGCCATCCTCAACGCTCAGCTTCCACCCATTGAACAACTTTGCACAAAAGTCCTTCTTGCACTTGGCCCACACTGCCCCCATGATGAATATATAGTCCGTTTTTGAGGGCTTAATCTTGATGGTTTTGTGGCCGAGGTAGACCGTGGCTTGTAGCCACTCAACGGTCTGCACAGGCAGGACCTTCACACCTGCAAGGACATAGCATGGCCAGACCGGCAGGTTGGGTGCATGAGTGACCTGAGCAATACCAGGAAGACATACAAAAAGCTCAGAGCCTACATACAGCCAGTTGCTCTGCTAAACCAGTGCATGCTGCCCCAAGACACTACTCCTGCCGCCCACATTCATCACTCAAATGTCATAAACAATACCTTGAGGGGTGATGTGCTGCAGGTGCTTCACCACTCTTGTGATGGTGTCTGGACAGGGTGTCACCAAACGAACATAGCCGGTCGTTTAAACGCATTGAAAATGTAAATGAGCGGATTTTCGTCAAAACGACCCCTAAACGACCCTCTAAATGATGGTACGGAAACGTACGCTAACCGTTAATATCTTGATGGGTTTGATGGGTTTTGATGTTTTTACACATAGCTCTATCATTTCCAGTGGTGTCTGAGGGCGTTAGCCAGCATCCATGTTGGGGGCTGGGCCCAGCAATCAGCGTCCATTGGGACCTGAGTTCGAGTATGTGAAGGTCTTGGACGCAAGCAAAGCCAATAAGCACCTTGGAGTGTATTATGTGCCATCACAAGTTCTTTGGGAGCGCAATTAGGATTCGGGGACACATCCACGGCCTGTCAGAGCGAGGTGCCGGCATTGTTTAGCAGCCTCTCAACGAACGAGGTGCTCATTTCGTTTACGTTTACGTTTTTCGTTTGGTAACACCCTGCTCCAACTGCCGAGTTCTGCTGGGATGGTGCCAAAATGAGGATGCTGTCTGGAGCATCCTCATTGGCACCATCCCAGAAGAACTCGGCAGTTGGAGCCACAGGCACACAGGTGCAGCAGCACAGCACAAAGACCCCCATGACATAGTTCCACCGCACACCCACTGCACCCTCTATCGTTTTGCACATATTTAATGAACAGGAGGACGGAGTAACCTCGTTGGGGGAACTGGGCCGTGTGAGACCCTGATACAGCCAACATCCAGGGTCGGGAAAGGGTGGAACAGGATGTTGCCACCAAGCAGAGAGCATGGGTAAGCACATGCTACATGGACATATTATGGTGTCTGATGCAAAAGCAACACCGCGTGCAGTTGTCCCAAAGGTGCACCTTCACCTGGAGCTTCCTCAGGGCCACCGTCATCTTCTGAACATCGGAGAGAATTTGTTCACACAGCGGCAGCCCTGTCAGCCTGTGTTCTGCATGGAAGTATAAAATGGCACTCACAATTAAGGCTCAATTGCAAGTGGGCCGTGGGCAATGGGCAGGAAGGCTGCAGGCAAAGGAAGCATAGCAAATACCAGTGAGCAAATACCAATTTTTTTGTGTTGTGCCAGGAGAGTGGCAGTGAGTGACTGGGCGAGGCTGGTTGATAGTTGTTTTTTTCTATCTTCAAGACTGGGGGGAAAAGTCCTGCCTGTTGCAGTGACCATTGCAGGTTAGCTCATAGTGGTCGACCTCTGATCCTGACTTGCTATGATAGCCCCCAGGAGTGTGGCCTCCTTTTTGGGGGGCCTCATTGGGGGGCAACCCACAACTCTGCAGAGTGGGGAGGTTTTGTAGTGAAGTCCTTCATGAAAGCATGCACAAGTGGTCATGTAGCAGCCGGTACACAGTATGGTGCTATAAATATGTGCAGAGCGCGACCGCCAGCAACTCGAGAGACCTTTTCAGCGGTCAGCTGCTACAGGTCACCCCTTCACAGGTGCATTGCTTGAGAGTTGTGGAATGGCTTGGTGCATGGTTAGGGCATGCCGTCTGTGGTAACAAATGTCTTTGGTCTTGGAGCCTGATAGAGGCATCTATTCTGCGGGTCTTTTTAGCGCTATGGATTGGATGCAATCCATAGCATGCAGGTTGGCGTGTGCCCTGGTGGGTGTACAGTGTGTGCTACGGTGCAAAAGCAGTTTGTCTATCTCCATCTCTCCTCTGCCTGAGTAAGCATTGGGACAGACCAGAACCATCATTAGTCTGTGAAGCGCTTATAAACACCCAGCCACCAAACATACAGCAACATCTTGCACCTTGACAGCATGGTATGGTCAGTCAGCTGGTGAAGAGAAGCGTGTGTGGGGACGGCATGAGGACCGAGAAATGTGTCGCGAGAAGGTCACTGACCAGCACACAAAGTGCACCGGGCATGCTCACCAGCTTCTTCACAGCTCAAGGTGGCGTGTATCTGTGTTCAGGCCTGAACATGGGCGCCTGTTGCTATCTGTCAGCTTCAAGAAAAACGTGCTTGACCCCAAGCAAACGTTCCCGCATTTAAAGTGCAATATCTTGAGCTAGCAGGGTGTGCAGCGTGGCAGAATCTGCATATACATGTACTTGGTTGCACGTGCGTTGTGTCCGTCGTATCATCCGCCTCCCCGGTCCCTGGTCCCCGGTCGGCACGCCACGCTCCCGCTCATAACCACGCCCCATGCTTTGCTCGAGGGGTTGAGCCTATTTTCACAGCTTCTCTAAAGCTGACACCCTACCACACCAGCATCACGCTGTCATCTTCACAGGGAAGCATGTCAGGCACGCTGTGAGCCAAGTGCTAACCCATATGCCACAAAACGTAATAGTTGACATGATTAGGCACGGCAGTGGTTTCAGGCGTTAGTTGCACTGAGCGGAACTGAGTGGCACTGACAGTTACTGAGGGTTTCTCAGAAATTCCGAACAGTCAGGCCATTGTGAATGCCCAATCCTTCCCCTCTCCTCGGCTACAAACTCTTATGGTCTTCAATACTATTAGTTACTAGGGTTGGCACGGGTACTATACTAGAAAAGAGTACTATACTATAATAGTACTATGCATAGTACTATATATTATGCAGGGCTCCAAACTGGCACTAGTTTACGACGCTCGTACCGTGTTCGTACATAGTAAAATAATATAGTAAAAATAGTACTAGATAGTACTAGATTTGGGTTTGGATATTGTCCAGTACTAGTTGGACCAAGTCGAGATCTGCAGTCAAGCTGTGTTTTGAAGGGCTATAGCCGCGTCTTCGAGCTGTGCTACGTAGTTTTGATGAATAATGTCAAGGGAATCCAGTATAATGAATGACAAGGCGATCAGAGGCTTGCATCCTGGTCCAGACGTCCCCCCTGAAGTTCTCCGTTCTCGGAACGAGCTTTTAAACAAGCTACGTAACCAGAAGAAGAACGCCAAGACGGGTAGTCTTTGGGACAACTTCGATGTGGAGTGGTGGGGTGGTCTACCAAAGCTAGTCTGCTTGTTCTGCGATGAGCCGCTCAGCACCGTGAACCCATCCTTCACCAACGCGCACCACATCAAGCAAGGTGCTTGCAAGGCTCTCAAACAGCGTGCAGCGTCACTCAGCCAGCAACAGCAACAGAGTGGAACCAGCTCCGCTGCGGCGGGCCCCAGCACCGCGGATCAGTGATTATGTCTTTATGTGCCATAACACGCCTTGAGACATGGGGTTTGGGGTCCACCTACCGGGCACTGAACTAACAAAAAGTGATCTGGATGACCACAGCGATCTGCTTTCTAATGTCTAAGTAGATATTTAGAAAGAACGAAAAAAGACCTTTCCAACGGTGTAATTTTCAGGTACAACGGTTGGTCATACACCCCCCTTCTACTGGGAGCGTGTACCTGCCTAGTAATAGTATCATAGTACTACATTACTATATATAGTACTATTTCTTACTATACTATACTATTTGGGTAAAAAATATAGTATTTTTGCCAACCCTATTAGTTACTGACTGAAGCAAAGAAAAGCTGCAATGGGTGGGAAGTCACAGGGTCGTTGTCTGGTCAAAGGCGCGGTGTTTCTCGTCGTGTCGACTTGCAAATCGGCCTTTCACGATTGTGAGCGATGCGACTAAACTTACACAGTTTAGCGATTGACTGGAGTGCTAGTGGACCCCTAACGGGAGGTCGCGGGATGCAAGAGACACGCCGACCCACCAAATCCCCTCCATTCTGGTTCGAGAGACACTCATAATCCATTCCAGTCAGGGCCTGTACGATTGGCCAAGGGGTGCGCGTTACACCACACATGCAGTCTCACAAAATTCAACCAAGTCTGGTACGGCACAAATGCATCCCCACCTGACCCACAAAATCTGCCCAGTTCTGGTTCCAATTCTAGTCGGGGAAATAACTAATCGGAGGTTGTTCGATTGTGGATCGAGGCCGTTGGGCCGAACGGGAGGTAGGCGTGACTACTCTGCTGCTCACACAGCACACATCGGGGTCCACTGTAACAATCGCATCCTCACACAGTCCCGCACCGACACCCCTAGTCAATACAGCCATACCGAAGCCGCATGAGTGAGTGCTATAACCCTATGTATATAGCGCCTTTTGAATATTTAAATATTATCAGTCCTGGTGTCTATGAGCTCTGTCATCGTTACCTCCCCTCCCTTGGCACCCTACTTGCTATAACCCACCCCTTATACCCACACGTTCTCGTGGTGATCCGCCGACGGATCTGCGGCCCCAACCCGGGCTTGGTCGTCAGCGCGGCTCCTTCCTGATGTATGTATGTATGTAAATGTACGGATGGATGGATGTGACCACATGTGTGGTAATTTAACACACAGCTGACTTGCCAGGAGGTCCATGACCCACGGGTCGGTGACATCAGACGGGTCACCAAACTGACCAGGCGTATTGGCCTTATCGCTTATGTGGATGTAGGTGTGTGTTTTGATAATCTTCGAAGCTGCGAGGGTGGCAGGAAATGCCGAGGGGTGGCGGTGGTTCACGAACAACACCTTTGGTGGTTAACAGAGTCCTGTGATGGCTCCAGAACCCACCCTTCCAATACCACCGGTGGATTGGGGGAAGGTGTCTGGTTTGCCGTACACGTTGCGATCTATATGCCGTGTAAACATTGTGATCTAATCCCTTTCCAGCACATGTAGCCAGTATGTAAGTATGTATGTGTATATGTACGGCGGTTTCCTCTGCAGCAGCACATCAACACACGAAATAAGAGGCGCACCTCCCCAGGGCATTTCCCGATGTCTACTCCCACCATGTGTGTGTATTGAGGTTGGGGGGAGAAGAACCATAAACCACGAAATGGAATTACAGCCCAGTAATAAGGTATATAAACAAATAAAATAAAGCAGTGACCCCCAGTACGGCACATCAGCCCCACTCCACACACCGTACAATCCCTGTACACACGTTGAAGGGCCCCTTCCCACGCAATCCGGCGCCTCATTACCTCAGTCATCCACCACATTCACACACTCCAGCTGTAGCAGTCGCTCACCTGACGGGAGGACTGACAGAGCGGAAGCGTGGAGTTATTAGTCCTCACCGATGTAGGAAGAAGTCCAACCAAGCGGCAAGCACTAGCGTACATAAGATGTGTACGTAACGGTTAGAGACGGCGGCAGCAGAGTCTTGAACTCCGAACACCTAGTAATGTGATACGTCAGTGTCTGGCCAGAACACCCCGCCCGGGTAGCTTATATCTCGGCCTACCTGCCGGATAATCTCTACTACGGACTTTGCCGTACTAGGATAATGTTGGTGGGGCCCGGGGCCCCAGCCCGTTAGATTCGCTTACGAACAGCTGCCCAGTTCGCGACATGTGACGAAACTCGGAACATGTACGAAACTTGAGTCAAATCGTTTACAAATTAACAGTTATTGTTAAAAGTAATCGTTAAAATATTCTAAGGGAAATGTAGCTTGCTACAGTCTCCCCCCTCTGAAGCGAACCGTCCCGGGAGCGTCACTTCTTCTTAGAAGATTTCCGTCCCTTGGGTTTTTCCGGGGCTTGAGGGTGTTTCTTAGACGCCAGTTTGCGTTCATATTCGTCGATGGATTCAGCCAAGGGGGTAGACTGGCGAAGGGATTCCTCTGGTTCATAGGTATTATGACTAGAGTCGTAACCTTCCCATTTAATCAAATACTCTCGACGTGTCTTTCCACGTCCCCCTCGGACTGAAACATCACGATGGTCGACAATAGCTTCGACCATAAAATACGGCTCACCCTCAATGACGAGTGGCGCCGGCGGCTGTCGCTTTACGTCTTCTTTGTACAATTTCAACAAAGAGACGTGGAAGACCGGGTGTAGGCGGGAGGCCGCCGGTAAGTCCAGTTTTACCGCAGCTTCGCCCACGCGTGCGACAACCGTGTATGGGCCGATGAACTTGGGCATCAGCTTCTTAGTTCCAGGGGTTTTTAATGTAATATTTTTAGTAGATAACAGCACTTTCTGCCCAACCTCGTAACGCACTGGACGCCTATGCATATCGGCGTCGTCCTTTTGGACTTGTTGCGCAGCCAAGAGACACTTTTTAGCTTTGCTGATACGCTCACGAAGCATCGCTTCTTGCTTCTGAGCGGCAGGCACCTTGGTTTTGAGGTGAAGGTCAACCGGCACACGTGGTTGTCGAACACCATTCAGGGAAAATGGAGTTGTCCCCATTGCCTTCTGTTTTGAGTTGTTTATGGCAAACTCAATCAGTGGCAAATGCTCATCCCAATCATCCTGAGTGGGTGATATGTAGTGCCTGAGTGTCTCTTCCAGAACGCGGTTCATGCGTTCCGTTTGCCCGTCTGTTTGCGGGTGAAAAGCTGTGCTCATATAGAGGTGGGTGCCCAACAGGCGAAATGTTTCCTTCCAGAAATTACTTGTGAAGCGAGAGTCCCGGTCTGAAATAATGTTCTTTGGAAGGCCGTGCTGCCTGAAGACGGTAGCCACAAAGAGGCGGGCTACATCTTCAGCTGTAGCGGTTGTGTGTGTGGGAGCAAAGTGCGTCATTTTGCTCAGCCGGTCCACGAACACTACAATCGCATCGTGCCCATTGCGGGATGTCGGTAGCTGCGTAACCAAATCCATTGTCACGCTTTCCCACACCTCCGTTGGAATGGGAAGGGGCTGCAGTAATCCACCCGGCTTAGCATTTGTTGGTTTATTACGCTGACATTGGGGACATGATTTGACGTGTTCTTTAACGCCAGAGTCAAGCCCTGGCCACCAATATGATTGTGCGATCGCTTGTTTGGTGCGGTCTATACCGCGGTGGCCTGCGTAAGGGACATCATGATTAGGGTTGGGCATTTCGTTAGAATTTTTTCCGTTCTAATCTAATTTCTAATTAGATTCTAATTAGAAATTAGGATCTAATATTAGAAGAAGCTCGACAACTTTTCAGGGAGGGGTCAGTTGAACCTGAAATTTTGTATAGGCCATCACAGATGTAAACGCACGCATTTCCAATTAAATTTACTCCGGTCGGGTGCCTGGGGAGGGTACCTACCAGCCAAACCCACGCCAGACTTGCTACGGAAACAACCAAGAACGCCGCCAAACCTGTCCTTTTAAGTCCCTACTTGCACAGAATCACCACATAACTGCCGGGGGAGTGTTTGCTCGCTAAGGGGAATGCAAAAACACAGAGAGGAAGGGCTAACGTACGCAATCGTTCCAACCATCGAGCTTGCCTTCTGGAAAGTTTATCAGCGCTTTTCTGCTCTTGCAGATAGACCAAAGGTTGATGGTCCGTTACTAGGGTGACATGACTCGCACCTTCCAAGTAACAACGCCATTCTTCCATTGCCAGGACTGTGCCCAAGCATTCTTGATCTGTGGTGGAATAATTGTATTCCGCGCTGCTGAATTTAGAACTTGTATAAGCAACTGGTCGGTCGTCTTGTAACCAGACAGCACCAGTGCCATGCAGCGACGCATCAGACCAAACTACGAAGGGTTTGTCAAGCTCAGGGAGTTTTAATACTGGTGCATTTGTCAAGGCATCTTTCACACCCTGAAAGGCAGTATCACACTCCTTTGTCCAGTGGAAGGCCCTATGGCATAAACATGCCGGTTACCGACCGTTTGGGGCCCATTAACCCAACCGGCCGGTTGAATGGCGTTAACGGCCCGGTTGGGTTAACGGTCGGTTGGGTTAACGGCCAGTTGGGTTAACGATCAGTTGGGTCAATGGTCGGTTGGGTTAATGGGCCCCAAACGGTCGGTAACCGGCATGTTCATGCCATAGGGAGTATCCCGGTAGCTCGGGAAGCATCGTTCGCCAATATTAATTCAAGGACTCTAACGCTGCAGGAAAATTTTAGTAGAAGATTTAGAACTATGTATGTATTTAGTTTTAGCGTTTGTTCCCGCTTTGAGGGCGTGAAATGCCGTGTCATTGTCCCTAATAAGTCATTGTCCCGGCATTTCGGCCGATGTCCCCAAGCAACTGCTTTGCGTCCATGTCACTAGATTGGCGCAATAGGTTGACAAGGTCGTCCATATGGCACCTTTCCTTGGACAAGGCATCCTCCAATTGGCACGCGGTAAATTGACTTAGATGGTTTGCCCTGGCAAACTTATGTACTCCAAACTCATCCACTGGACGATGCTGGCTGTATTTCTTGCGTGGGCGATCTTGTCGCCGACGGGCGATGTTGTCCAGGGCGTTCCGGTCAAACTCGTAGGCGCCGACCTCATTACCGTTGTCCATGGACATTGTGTTGGAAGGATACGTTAAGGTTCAGATAAAATGAAGAAATGAAGAAGCGCTCCTTCATAGTATGGAGATGGTGGTTCTGTTCACGGATGACCGGCCCTATTAGCCTATTACTAGGAGGAGGCGATTTCCATGATGGAGTAGTATTTTGAAAATCTGTTTGCATGATTTTGAAGGGTTTATAATTCTATAATATTGCAGTGCATTCGGTCCTGCAGGCGGGCCGTATTCTTGCAGTTCTGTGACGCGGCCTGTGGTCAAACATGAAGCACCCGAGCATGCCGCATGTAGCAAAACTGCATTGGATTTGAGGTCTACATAATCCTGGGTAATATTAAAATTATTTTGGTGCAACGGCCAACGTCTTTTTATGAAATGCGTTCGGACCGCGGGAAGTTGCGAGGCCCGCAGCTGAACTTTGTTGAACGCGGCATGG